ATTCTTTTGGACAGAATATAGTTGATATTTCAGTTTTCACAGAAGAAGAGAGTTCCAATGTTTTAGATTTGAAGAATATATTTGATCATGTTTCGTCTGAATGAATTCATTTGTTTTTTTCTTTTTAAATAGAATGAAAAAGATTCATCAACAACATCAAATACAGACAAAGATAAAAAAGTTAATCGTACACAATTAGGTACTTTTGGAAATTATTCGAATTAATACGTTCATCATATCAAATACATAAAAGTTTATTAAACTCATCAGAAATGATTATTATTGTCTATGAAATCAGTTTTAAGTCTTATTTCTACACAAGATTTATCAAAAAAATTTGGAAGAGAAACACTTAATTATTTTAAATCAACATTCAATGTATACAAAAGGTAACTTCTTCTAAATAGTAAATATTTATTGTAAAGAAAATTTCAATTATTGATCTTTTTTATTCATTGGGTTAAGCTAAAACCTTTAAGATGTTGTATTGTGTCTGAAACTTGTCTATGGATAAAACTTTAGATGGAAATCTTATAATGAAGGTTTCTGGAAGGGTCTTTCCTAGAGAAGGAAAATTTCAATATAAGAATGTCATAGTAATAGAAAAACTGATTTTACGAATATCGATGATCTTAACGAGAGTAGTTTTGTTGTGAAAGTGTCAGATCTTTTGATTCGGTTCTATCTTGAAATTCGAATATTAAATCATCTAGTTGACGTCAGTGATCTGCAAGAAACGCTATCAATTCGAAATTTGAAAATCATTTTTTCTGTTAACACAATATTCATTTAAAAATATTCTTTTAATTTAGTTTTTATTAAATCTTCAAATGTTTCTTCACAAGTATCATTAAATAATTCTTTAACTTATCTTCATACAATATGTCTTCGACAACCGATAATTCATTTTATTTGGTTCATGTTATGCATCAAGTATAAATAGTGAGCAATTCATAGAAAATAGGGCAATACGAGAGTAAAATAAACAAAAAATCGAATTTGATCTATTCTGTTTTTTTTTTGTTTTCTATTTTAGTTTTTATTGAACTAGAAAATTAGTCTTAAAACATATATTAATACCAATGAAAGTGATTTCCAAGCTGCTGTACTCGATTTACTTGTTCAATTACTTTTAATTCGTGTTAATAATAGTTAATTAGAAGCTGATGAAATTCGTTGCATTTCTAATCGTTTCGTTTATTTTTAAATAGCATTTTATTTATTGTACTGCTGAATTTCTTGTTATGTTATCACATGATACACTTCGTTCAAAACGAGTTATTAAAATACAAAATTTAATAAAACATTATGATTAATTATTAGCAAGTGGACATGAACCTGAAACGCATGGTAGGAAGTAAAAAAGAACATTTTCGAGAAAAAGAAATGATCGTTAAAATTCTTTATTTAGCTTTGGCAGCATTAGAACCAGTTTTATATGATTTTTTTTCTTGTTCGTGTTATGCGAATAATTAAAATTCCTAAAAAGTTTTATTAAATGAGAGTGAACAAAAGGTGTCCCTCTATAAGGTCTCAAATATCTTAGAAACTCGAGAAGTTGTGAGTGTGGGTGTGTATATGTAATTTTTCTCCTCGATTGAACCCACATCCACACTTCAACGAATTGATGATCTGAAAATAATCATCTTGTTGTTATGTATTTGAGTTTGAAGGAAAACTAGGCGTCTTAATTATTATAAATAAAAGTATCTTTTCATATCATGTGTATGTACTGAAAAAATAATAGAATTTATATTGTTATAGGCTTTACGATTGTTAACAGTTATTGTTAATAGTGTTCAAATTGAAGATGATAAATGGAAACGTCTTTCACGATAAATTGTCGATGTACTTCTTGTTCATTTACAATCACATGTTACTATTGGTTTATCTCAGATTAATTTTTTGTTCAAATAGGATCAATCACTTTTGGATATTTATTCCACACACTTAACACTATTTGATGTTGTGTTATCAGTTGCATTACAATCAATTGATCCATTTGTTGTTGCTTTTCGAGCATTAGTAAATAGATATGTCCGTTGTTTTTATTAATAAAATTTTCCTGTAGTTCAATATTTTTTTAGAATGTCAGTTGTCAATCTACAAATCGATAGTTAATCAATATAAATATAATACTTCGATATCTTGTACAAAATTTAACTGAATATGCTATATTAACACGATAGAATGATGTTTTATTATCAGTTAATGGAACATGAGATGAAACTTTTAGAGCGTAAGTATTCGAAATGATTTTACTTATGATTCAAAAACTATTGTTCTCATTTTTTATTTCAGAGCTCTTCTTCGTGTTTTGGCATAACACAATATTATGAATTTCAACAAATACTTGACAATTATGTGGTCAAATCAATATGACATTAGTTTCTCTTGCATCCGATTATCTTTATATACTTATGTATATTATGGACTAACGGAACAGATAAAAACTCGTTTCTATCAAAGTCAAAAGAGGGTGTGCGTGTGGGTGTGGGTGTGGATGGGGTGTGGCTGTGGCTGTGGCTGTGGGGTGTGGGGTGTGGGTGGGTGTGAGTGTGGATGGGGTGTGGCTGTGGGTGTAGGTGTGGGGTGCGGGTGTGGGTGTGGGGTGTGGGTGTCAGTTAAAAGAATAACTACACCCACACCCACCCGCACCCACAACCATACCCACATCCACACCCCAGCCACTCACACCCACATCCACACCCCAGCCACTCACACCCACATTCACACCCCAGCCACTCACACCCACATCCACACCCCAGCCACCCACACCCTCTCCATCTTTGTTACCCTTCTATTATATAATGTTGTATTCACATATGTTATCACAACATTTTCTAATTTGTGATATTATTAATTCAATGTGCAAGAAACAACAGAAGGATAAAATGTTGAAAGAAAAAATGATAAAAGTAGGGCTTTTTAAGTGTGTTTCTCTTGTACTCGACGATTGTTTAAAGCTAAAACCATAGAAACATGTGAGCCATAGTTCACATTCTTCTATCACCTTCTAATCCATCGGTTCGAATTATCATAATTATAGCATATCGAAGTCTAGTCATCTGTCGCTTAACATTTATTAAATTCTTTTAGATTATAAGTCATTATATGAATCCTATACAACCAATTAATATTGGTAATGTAAAAGTAGGTGCAGTTCTATAGTGCACGGTTTTTTTTTCTCTGCATGAAAATACTAACATACATTTTTTTTTTGTACTTCTCGATTAATATTACATCTATCTTTCGTTTTCCGTTGTTTAGAAAGTACCAATTCCACATGCATTACCATTTCAAGTTCAATTATTGCAACAACTGAATCGGGTCCGTATCACTTTGCCGACAGTTACTTTGCCGACGTATTACTTTGCCGACACCACTTTGCCGAAAAATTCTTTTGCCGATATATACACTTTGCCGACAGTCACTTTGTCGAAAAATTCTTTTGCCGACATATAGGGTGTGGGGTGTGAGTGTGGGGTGTGGGTGTGGGTGTGGGTGTGGGATGTGGGGTGTGGGGTAGCTGTGGGTGTGGGTATGGGTGTGGGTGTGGGTATGGGTGTGGGTGTGGGTGTGGGTGTCCAGAGCAGAACATTAGATACCCACACCCACACCCCACACCCACACCCACACCCACCCACACCCACACCCACCCACACCCACACACTCACACCCACACACCCACACCCACACACCCACACCGACACCGACACCCCACCCACACCCACACACCCACAGCCACCCACACCCACACCCCACATCCACATCCACACCCCACACCCTCAAGATTCGTCTGAAAATTGTACGTCCAATATTTTGTCGGCAAACTCTACATACATGTCGGCAAAAAGCACATGTCGGGAAAACAATTTGTCGGCAAAGTGGTGTCGGCAAAGTGGTGTCGGCAAAGTTATCTTCGGCAAAGTGATTGCCTCCCACTGAATCAACAGCAGCAGCCATTGCAACAATTGCAACTACAAGTGCAACAACTCCAACAACAATTACAGTCGCAACAACAACAACAAGGTAACCTTCAGTATTTCTTTTAACACTTCAGATTATGTGTCTTCATTTATATATGTATATATATTTTTGTATTTCTAGTTAATGATGGTCAAGTAGCTGTTCTCGGTCATGGTGGTACTCAAGCTGCTGTTGTCGGTAATAGTGGTGGTCAAGCTGCTGTTGTCGGTCATAATGGTGGTGAAGTTGCTGTTGTCGGTAATGGTGGTACTCAAGCTGCTGTTCTCGGTCATGGTGGTGGTCAAGTTGCTGTTGTGATTCGTCGTGGTCGTGGTCAAGCTCCTGTTGTTGGTCACCGTCGTCGTATTGTTGGTCATCGTGGTCGTGTTGTTGGCGCTCGTCGTATTGCTGGTGGTTAATGTAACATTTTTTTTGTTCTATTCAATTATTTTTTTTTGTTGAATTATATATATGTATATTTTAAATATATAATAATGATTTATTTTAAAATATTATTATTTTGATAAATAAATTAGATAGCAGAAATAAGAATATAAAAGCCCAATATGATTCTTTTTCGAATCAATCATTAACAAAGACAAAGGAAGAATAATAATTGAAAATAGGTACAGGATAGTATTAGGAAATACCTTATCAAAAGCTTTAATAATTAGTGCGGGACAAAAGTTTCATCCCTATATGAACTCGTTCATTTCGCATATAATTAGAAGCCAGAAAAACATGACACCGTTATCACACATAGGATTACCTGAAAACTCATTACTCATATTCAGTTTTTGTGTTTTGTCATTATTACTGTTCAGATTTATTAGCTAATTAGAAGGAGTAAAATATGCAACATCTGACATATATAAATAATGCTTATCTGCTCGAAAAAAAATTCAAAAGCACTTAAAGCAACTCAGTATCGTAGCGTGTTAACTTCATAGTGATCGTCGAATAATTACTTATATTTTTGCTCACTTGCATGAAATAAGACTATTGATTGAAACCTGATAGATTATATGAGAAAATTTCTCTCATCAGAGATCAATAACAATTAATTGACAATTATATATTGAAATATTTAACTGGCACTTCCAATCACTATGTCTTCAATGAGTTCAGTGCCTAAGTCAGTTGATGTGCATTGATAGATACATAGATCTCTATTTTTAGTCAAGGACAAAATGCCTATACATTAAACGAATCTTTTCATATGCTTTCATGTACAATTCTAAATGAACTTAAGCGAAAAAAGAATAACTAACAACACAAAAAAAAGAAAATGATTAATGTTGTTTTTATTATATTTGTTATGATCTACAGTGGACGTCATAAGTCTCGCACCACTTTTTTGTTTTAGTTGGCATCTCAAAAATACACGACATAAATTTAAATTTCTTTTTATCTTCAGATAGCGGAGCTCTAGTACTATATGAATGCATGTTTTTGAAATGAATAACTCTTGAAGCGAAAACATACGAAAAAAAGATAAACTTCAGTACTACAACAAAAACTACTCAAAAAAAGACAAAATGGT